CCACCCCCATAAACAGATTTTCTCTTCAGATTTATGAATATAGCCCTATAAATCATACACATATGACTTCAGGGTCCAGCTTACACCTGGTAATTATCCCATTAGTACGTTACAGTAGCATTTCACTAACTGGGGTACAGGTTCAGTCACACAGATGTGTGCCTAGTGCATGTCTGTGGGATGTCCCCTCATGACCTCAGCTGCTGCTCTGTGGAGGTGCAGGTCTCCAGCAGATCCCTTGTTGTATCTGCCAACCACGTGTGAATGCTGTGGACACTCAGACCTATCTTAAAGGCTGAGGCACCTTTGCTGAGGTGATTGAGTCCCAAAGACACACAGTCTATATGCTTGTTTCATGAACAGCTGCAGTGACTAAGCCTTTCCAGTAACTGGTGCTGTTTCTTCCACCGACAAATTTATCTATCTCCAGCTTTTGAAATCCTCTTGGTAATGGCAGTTTGCTCTCTAAGATTTCTTCTGAAATAGCTGAAATGGTCTCTCTAAGCAGAACACATAAACGTGTCCCCGTATATCTTTTCCTTAGCTATCTACACGTATAAAATAATTTTGCCCCATTGAAATATAGCTGTCCTTTTCTGAGGCACAAACTCTTTAGTGTCTGTGGCAGTAGCTATACTGTGTTGCTGGCCAAATCACTTTGCTCCTATTTTGTAAGCTTGTTGAAATGCACTTTTTTTTTCCTCTGACGCTGCAGGCTCTTTGCTTCCCAGCCCCTCTCTGTGTGTATTTTGTCTTCTCTCCTTGTGCTAGTTGCTCTGCTGCTCTGCAGACTCCTTCTAATTCGTCAGAGCTTAAATCAGCCTTTTCCAGCAGTTTCTTCCCCAGGCTTGTCTCTCTGATTTTCATTCCACTCAGGGCATGAATAGTAACTTCACAGACCCTCTGGCAATGTTTAAGTTTGATATAATAGATTTGATAGATTTGATTTAAGTGTGATATAATAGAGACAACCGTATTATTTTTCTTTTTGCTGATACCTTTTAGGAGCTTTGTCCTTCCCAATATAAGAATTTATAGTGAGAGTTTAGCCTAGAACTAAGAGCTTAGCCCAGTCCTGTACCAATCAAGTGCTTGTCAGCTGTTAAACAAACCCAGGGTTCCATAACAACCAATGTTTAAAAATACTCGTCTGATGTTACAAAATGAAAACCAAGAGTTTATGGCTGCTTCTTGGAAATCGCTGTGATTTCTATAAGTTCTTACGTCCCCTAAAAAAGCTGTGTCAGAATGACATTGCCTGAAGTGAATCAATTTAATGACAATTTTCCAATTGCTCTTTTGTAGGTATAGCAATTAGCACAATGGCTCTTCGTTGTCATCCTCTTCCTGTGTTTAAAGCTCTGAAGAGCCTGATCCTCAGAGCATGATATTATTGGGCTGCGTTTTGTCAGTATTGAAGGTATTTAGGCAACTCAGCATCAGGTCCCCGCTGCCTCAGAAAAAAGCACAATATTAAAAAAATTAAAGATTTTCGTGGGTCTTCAGTATTTACCTCAGATGACGGAGCCCTTTTTAGGACTTTTTTTTGTTGTTTGATCTTTCATTGTGAGCATCAGGGTTCAAGCTTCCCAGTTTGCCCCATCTTAAGCCAAAATTATGGCAGCAATGAACGCCTGAGCTGGGCCCTTAGTGGATTTAACACCTAAGACTTGCAATTAAGCTGCCACTGATGTCATCATTTGGGGAATTAAGTCTTTTTTTTTTCCTTGGAAGCACTTTATAAGAGTTTCTGCAAGCAAGTTGCAAAGGAGACTCTAACTTTCCTGACGATGAACACTGATGTCCCCTCCAATGCTCTGCAGAAGTGCCCTTGTTTTGTGTCCTGAACCATTTGTGGCAAACTAAACCTCAGGAGTTTGGGTTTTACTTCTTTTTTTTTCCTTATCAGACAGATTTTACAGATTAGTATCCTTGATCGTTGTAGGAAACACTGAAAATATAGAAAACCCACACAAAACCCCACCTATTTAATTCCCTGAAGTTTGCTATCCCTACTTGATGACGCCTGATGGATCTGTGGCAAAAGCCAATGTCATTTCACAATAGCACCCCCGCCCCTGGGCCGTGAGAGACGTTCTCAGCTGAGATCAAGCCATAAACACCAAGTCCACATCTGATTAGAGCAGATATACGGGAGGTACGAACAGAACTGGCCAGATGCTAGACCATATGATAAACACCGAGGATCATGGCATCCTATAAAAGTGGGCATTTATATGGTGCAGCTGGCTACACATAATCTTCTCCTAATTTATCAGGCTGAAGCATCTGGTCTGTTGCTGTTGCTCTATCACCTTTTCCTGAGCCTTGTTCCTGAATTTCTGGTAGTTGGGTACCGCTCTTCGGCGTGCCGGTGGAACGGGAAGTTAAAGCCATTTACAGTGGGAGATAAGCTCTTACTCCATCCGACAGATAAGATAATGTTCAGCCATGGTCATGAAAGAATGACGGGTTAGGACCTTGTAGGATGGGTTCTGCTTCACACAAAGATCAACAACTGCGAACTCTAAGAGACATAATATCTATTTCTTGTTGGCAGAACCTTCAGCCAACGTGACACGAGGACTTGGCCATTGCGACAGGCCGTGCCCATGACTGCAGACATCCTCTGGTGACACCGCAGGCGAAGGGTTGAGAGAACGGGTTGCGCAATCCTGCTTTTGTGACACTGCTTAGTTTTCCCCACCCTATGCCATAGCCCCAGGAGCCAGCACTTATTTTTCTCTCTTTACTGAAACAGAAGCTGCTGTTTGACACCTTGCTAGAAAAATGCCTGCTCTATCAGTGACTGAAAAAAAAAAACATGAGAAGGGTGTTCTCAGTTGGGCCTTGCAAACTTATGGTCAGGAGGAGTCAGGCTGATGATGTGAAGATGTCCTGTGCTGGGTGGTGTGCTCCACCGTGGAGCCATGTGCCACCCCAGGCATCTCTGCAGAGGTGGCCCCACAGCAGATGGTCTCTTTGTGTCCAGAAGGAAGAAGGAGAAGGAAGGCCAGAGCTCGCTTTTCCAGGTATTTCCAAGCTGCAAGAAAGCCCCAGTTGTAGTTTAGAGCCTGGGAGATCTTTTCCTCCGTTCCCCCCTCATGGAGACAAATGGCATAATGAATACAATGAAGCTGTTTTTTTTAAAAACACAGCATTACCAATGGTATCCAGAAGCTGTGGGGTGCAGATGACCCGGCTGGTGTATGCTACAGGAAAGTCCCTCTCCTTGCTGGACCCCCATCCTGCAAACCCAGTGGAGCACATCTTGGGAACACGGCGCTACCACCGGCTGTGGAGAAAACACACAGCCCTAGTCATTTCACCAAACCCTGCCCCAGTCAAACTGCACGTCAGAGCAGAGCGGGAAGGAAATTTGCCTTTCAAACAGAAAGAGAAAATTGGCTTTTGCAGAACATCATGGGGTTGGCGATGATAAATCCTGGTGCCGTCAGAATGGAAGCGAGACGTTCGCACAGCTGGTGCGCTGTTTTCTGGAAACCTGTGCCGTTGCTGAGGAAGTGAAATCTGGTTAGCAAACCTAGCACTGCAAGACTCATTCATATCTTTTATTTTTGGGTTTTTTCCCCAGTGTAGGAGATGTACATTTTGAATAATTTCATCCAATCGGAAAACTTTCTGGTTTCCAAAATTTCCATAGACCCATGTCATGGCAGCTGCTGTATTTCTAGCCAGATCTGAATGCTCCAAGCACCCCTATGGCTCTGCTGCTTCTATTTTCAAAAGTCTTTAAGATTTGAGAGCCCTAAACAGTTCCATCCTCTGCGTCTGACATAAGTACAATATCCAGCGTTGTCAGAGTCTATTCCCTGACAAGGATTAGTAGATGTCACCTTAATAAAGCTTCATCTTTGTGTCACAGCGGCAACTTGTGTTGACTTAAGGAGTGAAGTGAGTTTGGGAAAGAACCTGAATTACTGCAGATACGGTTTTCAGGCTGTAATAAGCCACGAGTGGATGAAGTCACCACTGCTGAAATGTAGGACAGGCTATTTCTTAATAGTTTGCCTGAATGGTTTCGTTGTGATTCTGCCCCGTGCAAGAGGGGTGGTGGGGCAATGCTGGATCTGAGACTTGTCGTGGTGCTGGGTACTATACATGGATTTAATAAGTCCCGTTTCCCAAAGAAAATTACTTAAATTGAGAAACTGTGTGATTATGGGCAGGGTAAAACAACTGGAAGAAATGGGACAGGAGCAACAAGGGAAGTGTGGTGAAGGAAATCTGGTTTTGTGGACTAGATGTGGATGCAGCTAATCTAGTCATTAAATATATCATGTGTTAGAATCAGATAGTGGAAATATTTAATCTGTAATGCTCTTTTTCATTCTGATGAAGGCGAGAGTGACCAGAATTCACTTACTCAAACACATCCTCCTCCTGGATGCCTACTGCCAGCGATGAAGAGTTGTAGGAGCAAAATCATTAGAAACCACAGGTGATGGTCAACACCCACTCATCATGTCCTGATAAACGGCTGGAATAGGAGGTCTTTTCCATTTAACTGCCTGTCATTGACTAAAAGTGAGCATCTTTTCTGTTCTGGTTTAAACGAGCTCCTGCCTAATCACATCCTGGTTTCACGACCAGAAATGTTATGTTGAGGGCACTGTGAAGACAATGTGAGTGCGGGGTATGCTCCTGGACTATAGAGTTCTTACTGTAAGGAAAGGATGCTTTTTTTTATTGCAACCTTTTCTTTTATTGCAAAAAAGGTTGCAACCTTTGTTGCAGGAGAAATAAAGTATCTGCAACTTCTATTTTATAAACTGTATTTGAATTCCAAGGCTTAAAATAGAAAACCCCTAGGAACAATCTTAAAGAGATTTTCACAAGAGCTTTTTGCTTTCTTTTGTACTACAGTACATTACTATTTGCTTTCTAAATGCAAACCCATACCTTTTTAAATTGTAATATAGGACATACAAGTTATCCTTGGCCTTTGCATCCAAAAGTAATTATGATGAATCAAATAATTGAGTGCAGCAAAGTTTAATTTAAAAAGCATCGAAGTATGTATTCCAGACATAGACCACATATTTTGATTTATAGCTGGATCTGTGATGAGAGGCATCTTCTGCCATTATTCCTGTAACTGGGAAGAGAAAGAGAATTGCTGTTGGAGTGTGCATTTAGCTGGATGGTATTTGATTTAACTTAAAATGCAACTCATGCCATTTGCCTGCATCCTTCCTGTACCTCTGCAGGTCGTTCAGCAGCTCCTAACCTGAGCTTCCAGCCTTTCACAGTACTGGAAAAAGCAAGGAAAAATGCAGGAAAATCACCAAGAAACTGGCTCCCTCCTCAGCCTAAACCCACTGACCAAGTCTCAAGAAAGACCAACGTTAGGCATCATATTATAAAGCAGAAGAAAGAAAAATTTTTATGGTTAGAGTACCAGGCTGAGAACCGAAGCACAGAATCATAGAATCATCTAGGTTGGAATATTTTTATGGTTAGAGTACCAGGTTGGGAACCGAAGCACAGAATCATAGATTCATCTAGGTTGGAAAGGACCTTAAAGATCAGCTAGTCCAACCATCAACCTAACTATGACAAAAAATAAATAAGTTGGAAGGGACCTTAAAGATCATCTAGTCCAACCATCAACCTGACTCTGACAAAAAATAAATAAGAAATAAGCAACAAAAAAATCACTAAACCATATTCTTGAGGACCATGTCAACCCGTCTTTTGAACACCTCCAGGTGCCTCAACCGCTTCCCCGGGCAGCCCATTCCAACGGTGGATAACCCTTTCAGTGAAGAAATTTTTCCTAATATCCGATCTAAACCTCGCCTGGTGCAATTTGAGGCCATTTCCCCTTGTCCTATCTCCTGTGACTTGGGAAAAGAGACCGACCCCCGCTACTCTACAACCCCCTTCAGGGAGTTGTAGAGAGCGAGAAGGTCTCCCCTCAGCCTCCTCTTCTTCAGACTGAACACCCCCAGCTCCCTCAGCCTCTCCTCATAAGACTTACTCTCCAGACCCCTCACCAGCTTCGTTGCCCTTCTCTGGACCCCCTCCAGCACCTCACTGTCTTTTTTGTTCAAACTTTGATGCTTTTTCCAGTTTTCCCTTGTTACCCCTAGAAAGGACCCAAATCTGAGCTTGCTAAGGCCAATGACGCCGAAATCAACTTTGGCTTAGATCTTTATACACACTGTGCCTTGTACCTGTAAGGCAGGATCAACAGTAAATCTCTCTGTTGGGCCTATGGTATGTGAAGAGAGTCTAGTGATTAAAGTAAGTAAACAAACAGATTTTTCAGACCAGCTAAGTGAGCTAACTCCTGCATTTTGGCCCACAGAAACTCATGAAATTTGATAACCGATTTATTTTTAAACTCGTTACACCTGAAGAACGGCCATGAAAGAAGGACAGGCTCATTTCAGTTCAATACATCAGATAAATCCCCGAGGGGAATTGCAGAGCTTGCAGCAGAATTACATGTGAGTAAAGTTGGAGGCTACTCATTTTCCGAGTTAATTATTACTTGACAGCAATAAAAACTGATGAAAGCAATAGTATGTATAACTATTTAAAGAAAGGGAAGGGGGAGGTGTGTCTGAGGACCGTGGCAGTGTGCAAATAATTATCCACACCGTTCCTCTAATCTCCTTGGCCGTATCCTTCTCGGCTGGTGTGAAACCAGCTGAGATGCTGTAAGAGCTCTGGGGTGTCATGTGGGATGGCAAGCTTCATACCGCCCCCGTTTTGTTTTGTTTTGTTTTTTAATCCTTTTGGAGAACATCTTTCCTTTGGTGAGGGGACAGCCCTTGACTTCCAGAGTCATCTCCAGCTTCAGGTGGTGACTTACCCCTTGGCAGAGGTACCAGCCCTGTCACTGCAGCACGGTGCACTGCCGGCTGCTGTAGGCACTGCTGCGGTCCAGCCTCGGCACGTAGGTTTTGGCCACGATGCAGTAGCTGACCCCCGGCCTCAAGTCTTCTATTTTAATAACCTTGTCTTTTCCTTCGTAGACCAGGACTCTGTGTCGCTTCGGAGTGGAAGTAAAAAGAGCCAGTCAAGCACATTGTGCCTGTGACTCAACTCTGATAAGGCTGGAGGAGGCAGAGCAGCACGTGGACTTGCACGAAGTCAACAACATTAGTAATTTATGATTTTTAAAGAACATTCTTCCCAAAAGAACCTCTTCTCCTATCCCCTTTTTTTTTTTTTTTTTTTTTTAATCTAGGCCTTAAATTACGAAATACTAAGTTGATGGGAAAGAATAGAGGGACTTAAATTACAAAATACTAAGTTGATGGGAAAGAATAGAGGGAGGAATTACAATTTGATTCAATAAAATTCAATTCCTGAAAAATAAGCCTGCTTTGTTTTCAAATACATACACAGTTACTCCATGGCCTCACAATCCCAGCTGACTATTTCAACTGTAAAACAAGAATGGTGTACCCATACTTTCCTGGCTTCTCAACGGCAAGGGATTTATAACTTAATATGCACTTACCTCGTCTAGCAAGTTGTTAATGATGAAGACTTGATATAGCAGATCATAATAATTTGTCATTGGTATGTTGCTGCCTTTCCTCCTTTTATATGGAGAACGTGGAGGCTGGAGCTTTAGTATTATGGATTTGTTGCTATGAAGCACAGTTACCATCGGAGGTCCTATCACAGCTAAGGAAACACACCAAAGTGATGAACAAAATTACAGCTTATTAATAACGTTTCACGGACCACAATTTGAATTCTTTCAACGATTTATAGTTCTTGTTACCAACGTTGTATTATGCTGTATTTACTGCTGAAGTGCCACTATGTAAATCCTTACTCCTTGGTGGTTACTGCTTGGGACATTTTGAGGATGACGTTTCCCATGTTTGTAAATCTATTTTTGAGCCAAAGTCTTTGAAACCTCTCAGAGCTGCAAGTTGCTGACTGCAGGCTGGTCAAGCAAAGTGCTTTGGATTCTTTGCCCTGATTTTTTTTTCTTTTCCTGTATTTATCTGAGTATATAAAACAGCTATTTGAACCATTTCAGTTATGCCAAGGATGGATCTTCAATCATTACTTCCAATTATTTATTTTTTTTTGCATTTTCTTGGTTAAACGCAGCTCTGGGTTCAAAGTAGGTAGTGTCTGCCTCGTGTCTCTCCAGGAGGAGGAGGTGGCACAGGGCAAGATGCTACAAGGTGCTGCTTTGTGGTGTCTTCTGTACAAGAGGCTGATGGCAGTTTGCACTTCAGGGCTGTAAAGTGACCTGCATTGACATTCACAATTCAATTTTGCATTGACCAGTAAAGGAAAACTGGTTAATCCACGGGGAACTTGCTGATAGGTACACCAGTACTGCTCAGTGGTTTGACAGTACTTCAATTTCATAGCATCATAGAACCATGGAATGGTTTGGATTGGAAGGGACCTTAAAGATCATCCAGTTCCAACCCCCTGCCCTGGGCAGGGACACCTCCCACCAGACCAGGTTGCTCCAAGCCCCATCCAGCCTGGCCTTGAACCCCTCCAGGGATGGGGCAGCCACAGCTTCTCTGGGCAACCTCTTCCAGTGTCTCACCACCCTCACAGCAAAGAATTTATTCCTCAGATCTAACCTAAATCTCCCCTCTTTCAGTTAACCAATACCCCTGATATTGCCCCACTCCCTGATGAAGATTCCCCCCCCATCGCTCCTGTAGCCCCTTTAGGGACTGGAAGGGGCTCTAAGGTCTCCCCGGAGCCTTCTCTTCTTCAAGCTGCACAATCCCAACTCTCTCAGCCTGTCCTCACAGCAGAGGTGCTACCACCCCAGCCCTACAGTATTTCTAACATACTATGGCATTATAATGACTTTACTAACTAAAGGTTAGTAAAGGACACTTTGCTCGTGTCCTGTAGAATGACACTGCAGTGGAGAAAATGCATAAATGCGAGAAGATTGGAAGCCACAAGGCTCTCAGCCCTCTTATCCCTGTTCCCCTCAAGGACAGAACGTTTCCTTCATTTTCCACCTTGTGCCCAGCCCTTCCAGCAGCATGAAAAAAAGCTGAAAATAATTTTTATAATTCCATGCTTTGAGGATGGGGTTAACTTAAAGTGAGCCAAGCATTTCTGATCCCCTAAACAGATAAGTGGCTACTTACCCACGATTGGTTGGCATCCAAGTGTGGGGAAAATTATTTTATCACAGCCCTTCACGTGAGAGCTATTGACTGGCAACTTCTTTTGATACAGCTTTGTAGCTAGAACAGGATTACTCATGTTCGCAGATTGTGAGCAAAAGTGCTGCATTCCACCCCACAGAAAATCCAATTTCTTTCTCAGAGAGACCCCAGATGTTTGTACTTACTTTCTCGCCAGGGAGTGAATCTGCAGCTGAGGCTCCAGTCGGAATAGACACCAGCTGAGGCGGCTTTCACTCTGCCGTAGTAAGGCTCTTGGACATCAGAGGTCTCACTCGTTAGGTCACAGACGTGGCTTTGAATCCCCCAGCAGTCGTCTTTGTTCTGCCATGTGCTCTGCCCGTACCTGTGGAGAAGGAGGAGGAGGAAGGATGGAGGCTTTAGCTGTCGCCAACCATCTCCGTAGAGGTTTTTAACCACCCGTTTTAACTCAGCGCTACTGACAAGCGTTTTGCCGTGGAATTTAACTCCCTTCTTCAACTTGATGGCAGGGAAGATTGATTTCATGGCTGTTTGGGAGCTACAGGTCTCTGTCTTTTTGGAAAGAAACCTAAAGAGGAAGAGATGTGGGTCACCAGCCCCATAGGAAGCCCCTGCACACTCGCTCCTCTGGAGAGGTGGGTGAGCTTTGGCTTAGCCAGTATGTTTAATGATGGGCAGAATGCTGGTTTCCACCAACTGATTTCCCAAAGGTGACGTCAGGGGTTCGCCAGGCATGTCAGGGACAGGAGCACTGAGGACCAGCCCCTAGTGCTGCTGGAAGGTCGCCATCTGAAGCACCCTGCAGCACTGTCCTGGGGGGAGGTGGGCCACCAAAATACCTTAAACCTCCTGTCGCAGAAGTACCTGACCTGGCTAGGCTTGGACTTGGTGGCCTCCAAAAGTCTCCAGGAAGAGATGTGGGTCACCAGCCCCATAGGAAGCCCCTGCACACTCGCTCCTCTGGAGAGGTGGGTGAGCTTTGGCTTAGCCAGTATGTTTAATGATGGGCAGAATGCTGGTTTCCACCAACTGACCTCTGAATATCCTGTGTCACCTGAGAAATCCCTTCTGTGCAGGGATGGGTCAATTTCCCAAAGGTGATGCCAGGGCCTCACCAGGCATGTCAGGGACAGGAGCACTGAGGACCAGCCCCTAGTGCTGCTGGAAGGTCGCCATCTGAAGCACCCTGCAGCACTGTCCTGGGGGGAGGTGGGCCACCAAAATACCTTAAACCTCCTGTCGCAGAAGTACCTGACCTGGCTAGGCTTGGACTTGGTGGCCTCCAAAAGTCTGAGAAATCCCTTCTGTGCAGGGATGGGTCTGAGACTGGTTTTCCCCTGGTACTTACACTTTATACTGCACGAAGTAGAGGGTGTCTCTTGCCTCTCCAGCCCTCCCCGGCTGCCAATGCAAAGTGCTGTTGAGGTTGAAGGACCGAAACTCTACCTTCTGTGGCTTAATGGAAGCTTGCAGGTCTGGGTTTTCCAGCACGACAATCGCTGCAAATAATAAAGGCTGGTAAGAGAACGTTTTTGTCACAAACATGCTCCTCTGAGTTTAAATCGGGGGCGGGGGGGAATTGCTACAGCTCATTTGTTTTCATGACCAGCAGACAGCAGGGAAATCAAATCTTCTGGGTCTCATGTTCAAAACTTTCCAGATCTAGAAGTTACAGAACAAACAGGCTTGGTGTTATGAAAGGAACACTTTTATGTGGTTTGCTTTTGGTTGGGTTCGTGGTTTTTTTTTATTTCATTTTTCCTCAGTGAGTTTGCTGTGATGAAAGATGCCGGGTGGACATCCCAGGAAACAAAACCCTCCAGATCCATTCACAGAGCCTGCAGGAAGCACCCACATGAGTATTTAAGCTCGAGTGCTCTTTCCTCCACATCTCAGCTTTAACCTGCAGGGATTACAGCTGTTTTTAAAAGTTGTCACAATGGTGTTTATCAGCTCTTGCCTAATTAAAAATAACCTGAGATTCACTGCTTTTCCTATCTGAACTTCTGGAAGAAGCTGCCTGATAATTTTCAAGATAATCTGTTTTCAAACTCTGATGGTTACAGATGACAGAATCAGTTAATAACCTCTCTGAAGCATCCAAACACTAATTTTTTTCCGAGTTTCGTGACCCAGATGACTCACTATTACTGCAGCTTTATCCCTGGCATATCACAAAATCAGGTAAGACTTGTATTAGTTGAATTGAAGCTACAGTAGGTAACACAGCTATGAATAAATTTAATGGGAAACAGGCTTGTTTTAGCTGTATTTTAGGACTTTGATAGACAGAATAACAGACTGATTTGGAAATGACAGGACTTTTGAAACCCACCAAAAGACCCAGCGATTTCTTGATTCACCCAGAGATTGAAAAACAGACCCAGAGCCCCCTCCCCAGGTAGGAAAAGGGCAGAAAGCCTTTACTTACTGGTTATCTCATCCTGAAGCAGGTGCATCAGCAAGCAGAGGGAGGAAAGCGTGATCCCCCTCATGCTTAGGAGAGCAGCTCCATGACTGAAGAGCATCTCGCTTCCTCTTGGGCATGTCTTATGAGGAAGTAATTGTTGAGCACTCCAGAGTTCCCCTTATTTTCAGCGGTTTCCAAATTCCCCAATTTGGCTTTGGTTTAATTTAGCTGAAAAACATATGAGTTACTCTAAATTAAACATGAACAATTGTTCTTACTTGGCAGCTGTGGTCACTCTGAAGTTTGGAACTAATTATGAAGCAAACCAGCATGAAAAAGGTCCTTTTTTCTTTTTTTCAGGCTCTAATTCCCAAACGATGCCTGGCAATATTGCTGGATCCCATAAATTTGTCACACAAGCTTGTTGCTTGCCGTGCTAAGGTTTTTATGTATTTATTTGGTTGGTTGGGGTTTTTTTCAGCTCATTAGTCGCCCAGAGAAGAACAACACAAGAAAATTTGCTGAAAAACATGTAAAAGACCTACCTATGGGATGTCATCTCATTCGGTGGCCTGTCTTCGGGTGGAAGGCGAGCAGATGAGGTTCTCCAGGGATGCCTGTGGCAGGATGTCATCTAGGCATGGTTCCTCGGAGGGAAGAGGGGCCATGAAATCACTGCCAGCCGTGCTCTGGGGCAGTACATCTGCACCACCAGAGATGCTGGGAGGTTGGGACAGCCTTTGGGCAGGGACCGAGGAGGCCAGCCCAGCCCAGCCCATCGGGACAAAGTGCCACTTGATGTTGGACTTTCAGACTGCCTGGAGTCATACGTGCCGACGGGTTCGGGTGTGCCACGGCGCTGCCTGCACAAATATTGGTGTTTCTCACCTCTGTCCTCCCAATCCCACCTTTTGGACACAGGCATCCCCGCGAGCATCCTTGGGGGATGCCAGGGATCCCTGGAGAAAGAGATCTGGCTTTGTGTCTGGGAATGCTTTAATGCCTGTCCCCTGGGAGCTGGCTGTGTTTCGTGCTCCTGGGATGTATGAAAAGCTCAGCCCAGTTGGTCGCTGGTGGCAAACGTGGTGCCACTGGGAGCTTGCTGGCCCTCTTGCCCTGCCTTGCCCCTCCTGCCCAGCCTTGACCCTCATTCTTCCCCCCCACCCCCCCGCCGAAATCTCCGGGATGCTGACATCCACGTGTACTCCGCCGCACGTACCGGGCAAAAGTCAGGATGGCTTCTCCTTTTGCCAACTCACCCTGACAAGCAAGGAAGAGAAAAGTCAAATTTTGTTACGGCACAGTGAAAGAAATCCTCAATGTGAAGACTACCTGCCTGCAGAAACAAAAATTTGCCCAATAATCACTTTTACTTTGGGAAAAGGTGGAAGCAAAGCACCTGTTAGGTCAAAAAAGTCCAAGCTCTGGTTAAAATGAAGGTTGTTTTGTGGTTTTGGTGTTTTTTTTTTTAATTTAAAGGCATTTGGTTATAGTTGGCAGATTTCTACTCAAGAAGCTGGAGAAGCAAAGCACCTGTTAGGTCAAAAAAGTGCAAGTTCTGGTTCAAATTAAGGTTGTTTTGTGGTTTTGGTGTTTGTTTTTTTTTTTTTTTCCAACAGCTATACACCATTTGCCAATGGTCCTAATGATACTCCAGAGGAGATCCTGGTACGGATAGGCAGTGGAAAATTCCCAAGCTCTGGTTAAAATGAAGGTTGTTTTGTGGTTTTGGTGTTTTTTTTTTTAATTTAAAGGCATTTGGTTATAGTTGGCAGATTTCTACTCAAGAAGCTGGACTCCTGGGTGCAGGCTCTCAGTTCAGTTGATCAGTTCTCCCTCCTTACCCAAGCACTGAACCCGCAGCAGATGTATGAAAACTCCAGACGTGTGGCTTTGAATAACTACCTGGTCCACCCAACTACGGGAATTAAAGAACTGAGAAGAAATACAGAAAAGGAAAAAAACAAAAGCAGAAAAGCCACCCTCCCGTTACCGGCTGGGATTTTTTTATCTATCCATTTCCCAAACGCGTTTTCAAAATCCAATGACCTTTAAGTAGTTCCCCACACCAAATGCAATTAACGTTTCCTCACGGTATACGAGCCCGAGTGCGGGAATAGGGAACCTCTATAAACCAATCCCCAGGGTGAGACGCCGGCAAAGTTTAGTCACGCTTGTCTACAGGTTGTGGTGTGTTTATTTGCTCACTCGAATTGTACCCGCACACCTTTCCCGTACCCCGCCAAACAGCCCAGTGCCAGCAGCTGCCAAACGTGGAGCTTTGCCAAAATTGCTTGGGCTGGAGGTTCCTCCTCCCAAGGCAGATCTGGGGGGGGGGAAAGGGGGGACAGCCCGCCCGGCGCCAGCGGGTTTCACTGGCAAAAAGGCTTCTCTGTGCTGAAAGAGGGGGGAAATAAATGCTTATTCCGCAGGAAAACTCGGGGTTTCCTGCGTGCTGCCCTCTGATAGTGCTTTATCTGCAGCCGGGCTTGGCACTCCGGAGTAATCAGTAACTCTTCCCCCCCTTTTTTTTTTTTTTTCTTTTATTTTTCTGAGTATTGAAACAGCCGCCAGAAATCCCCGGATTATCAGCATCCCTAAGGCTGTGCTGCTCGTCAGGGCTTCCTGTGATAAAACCAGGCAAACCAGTGCCAGCCACACACACACGGACAGACAGACAGACGTGTGCGTACGTACACATGGCTTTGAGTGCCATGGAACACATATATAGTACAGTACATCTGAAAACATAACCGGCTGAGGAACACTATAGGATGACGTGCGCTCTCCATCGCTATTTATAACATGAAAACTTCTTAAAACCAGCATTGTTTAAGAATACTCCTAAGAGTACCATGGCTATTTATAACATGAAAACTTCTTAAAAACAGCATTGTTTAAGAATACTCCTAAGAGTACCCCCCCTTTTTTTTTTTTTTTCTTTTATTTTTCTGAGTATTGAAACAGCCGCCAGAAATCCCCGGATTATCAGCATCCCTAAGGCTGTGCTGCTCGTCAGGGCTTCCTGTGATAAAACCAGGCAAACCAGTGCCAGCCACACACACACGGACAGACAGACAGACGTGTGCGTACGTACACATGGCTTTGAGTGCCATGGAACACATATATAGTACAGTACATCTGAAAACATAACCGGCTGAGGAACACTATAGGATGACGTGCGCTCCATGGCTATTTATAACATGAAAACTTCTTAAAACCAGCATTGTTTAAGAATACTCCTAAGAGTACCTTGGGAAAAAATGGAAAATAATAACTTATTGCTTTTCCAGCAGAGTCCACGCGAGTGGTTCTGCTGCTAATTCATCCCAGTTTACGCCGAAGCACTTTTTGGATCCAAACCTCCATGAAACCATAGCACTGATGTTTCTGTGAACCAACAAGAGAACCCTGGGCATGAGAAGTTTTTCCGTTCCCAGAATAAAAACTTACCTGCAATGCTGAGTAAACAGATTTCTTTCTCTTAATATTGCTACACAGAGGTAAAAGTCAAGTACAGTCTTGCTGGAAGGTGCCTGACTCATCCCATCTGATAGAACCACCTCACTGGGTTTGTTGTTGGTTTGTTTTTTTTTTCTTTTTCCCTGGAATAAAGTGATTCCATCCATAAGAGGAGAAAAATTAACCCTGGAACTGCTCCTGCAGCACCCCCTTTGGCTTCTCAGACGCAAGATCTGGGATATTTGCAGTGGGTGTGAGGATGGATCCTGCTTAAATGCCTGGATGAGGGAGCGGGAAGATGAAGGAAGGGGAGAAACTCCCCGAGCACACAGAATACTTCTAGTAACTGTTTTCCCCCAATATATCTGAGTGGGATTCCCCCACTGCAACTTCTGACAGCTGCTTTTTGTGTTTTGATTGGGAGCCTGGGAGAATAGTCTGTCTTTTCTCCCAAATTGATATTGTTGACACCTGGGCTGAATCAAAAGAAGTGTGGCCAGCAGGTCAAGGGAGATGTTTCAAGCCCTCTACTCTGCTCTGGTGAGAGTACTGTGTCCAGCTCTGGAGTCCTTCCTTGGCACAGGAAGGACATGGACCTGTTGGAACGGGTCCAGCAGAGGGCCACAAAGATGATGAGAGAGCTGGAGCACCTCTGCTATGAAGACAGGCTGAGAGAGCTGGGGTTGTTCAGTCTGGAGAAGAGAAGACTCTGGGGAGACCTTATAGCAGCCTTCTAGTATCTAAAGGGGGGCTACAGGAGGGATGGGGAGGGACTCTTTATCAGGGAGTGGAGCCATAGGACGAGGGGTAATGATTTTAAACTGAAAGAGGGGAGATTTAGGTTAGATATTGGGAAGAAATTCTTTGCTGTGAGGGTGGTGAGACACTGGAAGAGGTTGCCCAGAGAAGCTGTGGCTGCCCCATCCCTGGAGGGGTTCAAGGCCAGGCTGGATGGGGCTTGGAGCAACCTGGTCTGGTGGGAGGTGTCCCTGCCCAGGGCAGGGGGTTGGAACTGGATCATCTTTAAGGTCCCTTCCAACTCGAACCATTCTGTGATTCTAATTGTTCACCTGCTCCGGGGGCACTGGGATAAAGAATCACTGCACATGAAAAAGAAAAAGAAAAAAAGAAAAAGATAAAAAGAAGAAAGAAGAAAGAAAAAAGAAAGAAAAAAAGAAGAAAAACAAGGAAAACCCCCACAGTCAGGCAAGAGGGACTTTTTGGCTTATTCTTTTTCTCTCCCCACCCTTCAGGGAAGAGGCATTGCATCACTCAGGTTCTTACAGCGAGGTTTCTGAGGAAGCAGGACAGACTTTCACTGCTCGGTGTGAGCCTTCACTGCCTCCCGCCCACAGGTACGAGCTGTTCAACTCTCGCTGTTAAAGGGCTTGGGTCAACATTTTAAAGAGGCTGCAGTTTGAAATTCCCCACGCCGTAGCTGCGCCTTCGCAGCGAGACATCTGACCACACTAAAGATGAAGGTCTGCTGAAGGCTCGCTGGGCAGCAGGTCACTATTTGCAGGGACAATTTTCAGTTAATGATGTGCAAGACACTGGATTGCACCAGAAGGTTAGTAACCAACACTAGCGTTCATTAGGAACTGTAGGTAATAAACCCCCCCTAAATTAGCTCAAAGCCTTTTATTTAAATTACACGTTTCTTTAAAATTGTCAG